ATTTGTTTAAGTATCAGTGACCTCCTCCGTCACCTTTGATGTCTGCCAGGTGCAGTCCGGAGGCAGCACTCTCGATCTCGGTCAGCAGCTCGCTGAGCGCCTCATCTTCGCACTCGTTGTAGACGTGGACAGTGGCGAGCGCCAAACCCCGCGAGTCCGCAAACGCCACGGTCTTCCTCCTTAACATCCCCGGGCTGCCGCCGCCGCTCTCTACGCCCGCTGATGGTGCCGTCGCCATCGCGGAGGTAAGGCAGGGTCGCAGCGGTCGGCAATGCGGCAGCAGAGCGACTGAGGACGAGGAGCGCTTGTTGCAGTTCCCGAGTAAGGAGCGCAGAGGAGGTGAGCTGGCCAGGCAGATCCTTACGGCCACGTCGATGGGCATGATGGGAGATGGGCCCCCGGGGCGAGGGTTCAGGACATGGAGGACCCTGAGGAAGACAGAGGGGGTCAGTATTCAGAGGGCAGAAGAAGAAATCTCCATTAATTTGAATAAAGTCACTGAAGATACCGGTACCAGTGATCAATCGTGATGAAAAAGTGACCAATCAAATAACTCTTTCCTCGTTAATGTATTAAATGCTCAACATTCTGTGATCGTAATACATTAAAACTGCCTAAAAAGCAGGTACGTCAGGTGTGCTCATACAGGACCAGCACTGGACTGACTTTAGACCCGACTGTGGGTTTTCAGAGATTCTCTTTCCTGACTGTCGTTTCTTTTGTTCAAAAACTCTGCTGTGTGAAGACGGCGAAGAGCGCAGGAGGCCCAGGTGTCTTTAGAGGTGATTGTACGCAGAAAAAACACAAACTGGACGATATCATAGAACTGCAGGTCCAAGTTCACATTAAAGAGCGTCTAAAATCAGTCGGCATGCAAACGTTTTTTCATGCAGGGAGTGAGAAAAACTCCAGTCAGTGTGATTGGCTGCTTCTGCTGATCAATGTTTGAAACCAATAACCACCAAATGATTGATTATTGGGCATCTTTACTTAGTTATCTTTAGCTAACAGGTGTGTCGGACACACAAACATGAGGAGGGCGACTAACACAAGTCAGGTACGTTTGCATGTTTCTATCACATGAACCTGAAAGAAACACACCTGACAGGTGCTGACAGAGTAATCTGATTACTGAGTGCACGGTCAACAGTCAAAGCCAGTCAAAGTCAAGTATTGATGACTTGATCTGCAGCTCTGTGATGAATATTTCAACACGTCTCCGATTTTAAAGCTGAAGTTCAGAGTTTCCCGACTGACCGGAAGTTCTTCTGACCGATGTTTGAAACCAATACCGACAGAACCATCGCTTATTGATCAGAGCTGACCTGGAGCTCGAGTTCACAGACTGATGATGAAGAGGAGGAGGAAGGCTGTGGCGCAGTTTAATATTTGAGCAGCTCACCTGGTGCAGTTCATGGAAACCTGTCGCCCGGCCCGTCCCGGACAGCAGCGGGGCTTCCCTCCGTGTCCACGGTTTCTTTTTTTTGTTTGTTTGTTTGTTTTTTTTTACTTTTTTTCTTCGTTTATTTTTCCGCCATTTTAAAGTCCGACCGCTGCCTGTCCGCGCGCACCGACACGCCCCCTGACGATCCGAGAACGGGGAGAGAGAGAAGCCAATCAGCGCTCGGCACCGTCAGCTGGCCACACTGACAGCCAATCAGAGAAACGCCAAATAGAGCGAGCGAGAGAGCGCGTTTAACGGGACGGAGAAGGTGGGCGGGACCTGACGCACACTGAGCTTTGACTGACAGGTGAGTTAAGAGGAAGAAATGCAGGTGTTAGTGAGTGAGAGACGCCACCGATAACTGCCAATCACGCTTCTGTGCGTCATCCACCCGCCCCTCTTAAACTGACACACGTACCTGAAGCAGAATGTGCTGTTTTTTTTTTAAGTTACCACAACAAAGTTATGATTTCGATCTGTCTCATGTGTCTCTGATCCCGGATGAGGACTGAGTCTTCAGCGGTGAAGCTTCTGAAAGATGGACGACCGTCCTACAAACGTCCCCACAGGTTGGTCGAAGCTGCTTTCCTTTTTACTTACAGATTTCAGCTGCAGAGACCTCAGGAAATCGCTGAGTCTTGTCAGACAGACTGAGGGCTGACGGTCCCCACAGTGAACAGGTAAACTCACAGGTAAACTCACAGGTAAACTCAGAGGAAGCTTCATGCTTAGCCGCCTCATACATGATCAACAGACAGTTCGCCTCCTCTGCAGGCCGTGAAACTGAGGTGAGGACAGGATTAGACTTTTAGACTGTCCTGCAGCAGCAGCTTTGCATGATTCAAAGATCAGAATAATCCTTCTTTGTCTGTTACTGGTTGCAGCTCCTTGACTCCCCCATTCTCGTAAAACAGCTGTTTTAGTGCCTTCCCTTTAAGGGGGGTTTGTTCTGATTGACTTTTTATTTTTATTTTTATTTTATTTTATTTTATTTTATTTTATTTTTTTTATTTTAGTTGTTTTTAGGTGATTCGATGCTGTTTTATCAAGTAGGCCTGCAGAGCGAGAGCGAAGTGCATCACAAAGTGAATGGTGCACTGAAGTCGAGTGACAGCAGTGATGATATTGACCACAGCAGGCAGAAGCTTCGTTAATAAGGTGTTTAATAGCTGTTTGGGGTAATAAGACATACAGACTGTGTTCTGTTCCAACAGGAACTGTGCTTCATCACTTTGCTTCATCTGCAGACAAACGTCGTCTTCATTGTAAAAAACACAAGTGCTTATTGAAGATGTGCAAAACAGAGTAACAACAACAACAACAATAATAATAACAATAATAATACTGTCAGCAACAACAAGGAGAAAAGAGCTTCAAACTTCACAAACTCACAGTGAGAAACTCTGTACCATCAACACAGAAATTATGGCTTCAACAGTGCAAACAACACCAGATCCCCCGAAGTCCTGATACTCAGATATCCGGTGCTCGCTGCTGTGGAAGGAGCTTCCTGCACCTCCTCCACGCCTCAGAGAACCCATTCTTCACACTGAAGCTGCAGGTCCAAAGTTTGTTGACAGTTTGGGGCCTGAACTCGGAGCTCCACAACCTCAGAGAGCAGTTGTTATTAATAACCTCAGCATGCGTGCTGTCTAACCTGACCTGGCGCTCTGCTGCCGCCCACCTGTGAAGCCTCGTGCAGACAGTCGAGAGCTGCTCGTTTGGTGATGTCACTGATTACTGGACTTTGTGAGCTAGTGTTAGCTCACAGGCTCTGAGGCACATACTTTGGTTTCAACGTTAGACTCACCCTGAGACCGTCACCGTGCACGCTTTGAGAATAAATTCCTGTTTGGTTCAAAAAAGGAATAAATTCCTGTTTGGTTCTGGGCACAGCGCCTCCTTCAGGACGTCCTGAGCAGCTGATTTAATCAGTTTAAAGAGCGACGGAGCCTCACCTTCAGACTTCACCTTTTTCAGATTATAGTTTCCCCGTATTTAAAGATTATTTTCTATCATTTGAGGAATGAGAACATTGGTGCTTTGATGATGGGATGATGGAGGGTTGTGTGAGTTTAGATGATTTAAAGGTCACACATTTAATTGTTTCCTTTTTTAACTTTATAGTTAATCAATATAAAAACTCTCACAATGAAAAAGACTTTAAAGTCATGGTCATGAGAACATTTCCCATTTTTTTCAGATAACTATTTGTTTCATTTATTTTAACTTGAATATTCTTCTTTAAGTACAAAATACAAAACTCGTGTTTCACCAGCACCGAGATTAGTTCAGGTTTTTCTCTTCATGCTAATTATTTATTTTTTATTATTACAAGAAATGTTTTCATTATTTTTAATGTTTGCTTTTGAAATGTGTTGCAGAGTAAAACGACTCTTCTCTCTTTTTTAAAAGTCTGAAAATAAACACATCAGGTGTTTTTTCATTACATTAAATAATTCAACATTAATTATAATTCACTGAAAAAGTTATAAAAAGTTTCTTTGATGAACTTTGAACTTTGAGCGATTATTAATGTTCATCCCTGTTGCTATGAAAAGTTATTCTGCTCTCAGTGCTGAAAACAGCTGTGGAGTAAAAGGTCAGAGGTCAAGCTAACAGCTGATCTGCTTTCCCACACAAACATCATTGTAGTTTCATTTAAGCACAAAGTCAAACCATCAGAGACAAACACGTTAAAACTCAGCTGATCTGAAATTTAATGAGGTCAGATCTTCCTCCTCCTCCTGCTCCTCCTCCTCCTCCTTCTCTACAGACAGATCTGTTTGGCGAGCTCGCGGTCCAGGTCGTGGATCAGCGCGTCAAAGTCCTTCAGGCTGAGCCGACAGTTAAACGGAGCGTCAAAGTCCAGGAAGTCATCCATGTACAGAGCTCCGCCCCCTCCTGTTGGCCACGCCCTCTTCTTCTCCTCCTCGTCTTCATCATCACTCCCTGAAAAACCAAGAGGAAGAGTCAGAGAGGAGAAAGGGCTGTCAGTCAGACACCTGTCACCTGTCGTGATGTGACCCAGCAGGAGTCAAACATGTGACTTCAGTGACACCTGTGAAGGTTAACCATGTGTACAGGTAGACGATCAGCTGATTTTTACCTGCATCGCTCTCACTTCCTGCCACCTCATCGTAATCGGCATCCTGCCCGGTAAGAAACTCTTGTCCGCAAACGCTCCAGTCTCCCGCGTACCTGTTGATTGGCGGTGGACTCTCCAGCCGGGCCACACCGCCACGCCCTCGCCGTGACACCACCACCTCCTCTTCAGGGCTCTGTGGTAGAGCCAGGCGCAACGCCGGATGCCGCTGCTGCTGCTGCTGCACCAAGGGATTCTGGTGAGGGGTGGAGGAGGGAGGAGGTGAGGCGTCGGCTGGTGCTCGATGAGTCGGCACTGAGGACGAAGAACAATTGGGACGATCTTGATGGTTTCCATGGCGAGGTAAGGTATGTGGGCAGGTCTGTAGGGCTTACCTGGCCACAGTTGCAGCAGGTAGTGCAGCGCTTCGATGTGCCGTTTGAAGTCCACGGCGCTCGCCATCTCCTCGCCATGATAGAAACCCTTCGTTGATCCTCTTCCCGACTTCCCTCCTCCCCCCTTCCACGCATCTTGGGTTGGTGTGAGGAGCACAGGCCCGAAGCACACGGCGAGGTTCTGATGAGTCATCCTGTTGGCGGCACTGAAAGATGCTACGAGGCTGAGGTGGTCGAGCAGGAGCAGCAGAGTGGCCTGAAAGCGAGAGATGGCGAGGACGGTTAGTAGACAACTCAGCGGCTGACCTGCTGAAATCTGACCTGATGTCAGATTTCAGATTAACTCGTCTCAGTTTTCCCGAATGTAAAATATTCAGCCTGTTTATTTTGCTTCAAAGGTTCCAGGTTGCGAAAAGGTCAAAGGTCAGGGTGTTAGGTTGCAGCTGAAGCTGCCAGTTTTCTACCCCTCTGTAGGAGCAGGTGTTCATACAGGAAGTAAACAGGAAGCATGCGTTCATTATTCCAGACTATTCTTCCTGTTCAGAGGCTGCTGCCAACATTACCCACAATGCACCGGGAACAGCAGCTTCTGCATTAACGAAGAAGAAACGTCCCTATGAGAATGCAGTTGGTGCATTATGTCACTGGGCAGTTCTAGCGCGACATGCTCGATCAGACGAAATCAAACCTTCATCATTTGCTTTAAATGTAAACACTGTGTTCTTTATCTGTCTCACACCAACTCTGCAAACTAGAGGGGTCATAGAGGGGTCATAGAGGGGTCACAGCTGGGTCACAGAGACAGGAAGAAGCAGGACCAACAGCAGGCCTGCACACAGAAGAAGAAGAGTAGCATGAGGAAGAACATTGTGGGCTAGTGTCCATCAGATAGACTGAGTGAAGGTACTGCTGACTGTGGGGAGGAAGCACGACACTGTCACAGCAGGAAGCTGCATTGTAAGAATACTGCTGGTGCAAGATTAGCACAGTAGTGCTGCAGGAGTACTGGCTGTTACCCTTTCTGGAGGTGGCAGACAGGACAGCAGCTCCACGGTCCTTTGGGACAGTTGGGGATCAGGTGTTGCAGGTTGGACAGGTGGGGGTCGTAGGGTCATGGCCTCCCGGACCACCTGGTACAGAGTCCTAGTGATGAGGGGGGATGGCAGCTCCCGCAGGTAGTCCTTTAGAATCCCTGAGGAGGCAGGTGAGTGCAGTCACAATGAGTATGAGGACGATCAGAGGTCGGGTCAGAGTCTAGCTCAGACACAGGGTCAGGGGTCAAGTACATGTTCTCTGCTTACCTGTGATTACGTTGATGTCAGGGTAGAGGTCCTCAGACAGACAAACTGCTGAGCTGTTCCTCTCGAACCAATCCCTGAGCTCCTTCTTCACCGCAGCAGAGCCACAGAGCCTGTAAAGACCTACCACCTGACACACACACAGACACATAATCAGCTGACGGTGAAGCCGCGGCATCTTTGTCACAGCGGACTTGCACGCTAACCTTCAGTCCCCGTCGTTCGATCTCTGCCACTGTTTTCTGGATCAGCAGGGGGACGGGAGTTGCAGAGCCCTCTTTCTCCACCAGGTGGTGGAGCTCAACCCCAAACACAGAGGACGGGGTGGATGCGTCGCCGTTGGGCTGCAGACACACAATTTATGATTGAGTCTGTAGCGGCGGTGGTGGTTGGTCCACAGTTCACAGCACTTCATGCTCATCGTGGAGATGCTGATTCCCCTTTTCAGCAGCACTTGGCACCTCACAGTGGTGCAACGCCTACCAGAGGGTTTGCTGAGCACGATGCTACTGTGATTGGTCTGCCAGCTCACCTGACCTGAACCCCTATCTGGGCTTCTGTAATACTGGAGCAGCTGCAGGTGACCGTGTCTATGCTACACTGCACTGCAGCAGGCATTGATGGTGAAGGAGCCCCCACCAGGTACTGACTGTGTGAGTGAACACACCCTTGAGAAGCTGGACATTTCCATATCACAACCACCAAAATGAAAACAACAAAAAAGGCTTCAAATATTTCACTTTATGTGTAATGACTATGTGGAAGCTTACTTTTACCATTATATACGTTACTCTATTCAAAGTTTTCGAGTTGTGCTATTTGAAGAACAGTCCATACTAGCAGGACGATGTGACCCCGCCCAGCTGACCTGCTGGTTCCAGTTAAAACTAGCTGCATGTGTCAGCAGCAGCAGTGGGATTGTGTACCTGCGTGTCCCATTTCTCCTGCAGAGACAGTTTGATATAGAGAAGTCCTCTGGGCTCCAGCTTCACACAGAGCTGCTGACAGCGACTCCCTGACAAACCAAACAGTATACGATTCAGACATCACTGATAATCATAGTGTCAGCTGCATTAACAATGAACAATGTGGTATAATGAACCTTTGAAGAGAGGGGGGATGGAGACCCCACCCAGACCGCACACCCGGTTTCTAGTTGGACCACCTGAGTTGGGACTCTGCTCAGATGTTGTTTTGGGTGCACAGACTGAAAAAGGGGAGAAAAAAAATTAGTGAGCAGATTTAAATGGACACCCAAAGAATATGATGATGTTGGGGGGGGGGGCTCGTGATCATGACATCATGACAGCTGGAGGTTGTTTAAAGTTTTTCACCAGTGATAGAAATGGAGGAATTGTCAGTTTGTCTAAAGACTACAGTGGAGACTGTCTGAAGAACTGAACCGGTTACTTGCTGTTTGTTTAAAAACATTAAGAGTTTTTTGGATAGATGAGTGTGGTCCAAGCTTTTTACAGCTTAAAAAGCACTTTGATGCAGTCAGTAACAAGATCGTGTCTCAATTAACAGAATCTCTCTTCACAGGAGATGATGTGGTTTAATACCTACATTAGAAGGGAACACACAAATTTAGGGAGTTTGTGTGTTCGCTCATACACATGAAACATTATAGGGAGCATTGGTCCTGCCTGAATGCGGCTTTGTTGTATTACCTGGTGTTAATACCACTATGCGGAGCTGCCTGGCTCGCTCTAGCTCCAGGTGGAAAGTGTGGTTTAAGGAGAGGGCCGAGCCTCGCAGCATCAGGAGGGCAGTCCGCGCTCTCGTCACCCCATCGATCTGTATCACCAGGAAGACTTCCTTACTGCCCTCTGACCTGAGACCGAACATCCAGAGAGACAGAGACAATGACTGCTCCAAAACTGAACCTAACCCTCCAGCAGGGGGCCCCCTTGGACACAACATTCACAGAAAAATGTTGTCAGTGGAGCCAGAAGTGACCAAGAGGGTGGATTAGTTTGCTAGACTGTACAGGTCTGTCCGGTGTATCACATAGACACAGACAACCTGCTAATTAGTACTCAGTCACATCCAAGTAAATTCCTAAAACTGGAGCTCAGACTTCTTGTATGGTCTGCTGGTAACCCCACAAACACCAGCCAGAGATCCAGGTTAGAAGAATGTTTATATCAGACCTGTACTCAGACAACTTATACCCTATACAGTCATGAATTAGCTGCTCGTAAAACAGCCAGTCTGAGCTTTAGACTGTTGACCTGCAGTTCTCTTAATGTCCACTGGATGCTGCTGTGTTCAGATTCTGTGTTGAAGTGAATTAAAGGCTTGAAGGTATGTTTATACCTGCTGGTCTTCATCTCCTCCAGCCCCAGCAAGTGGACTGTCAATAAACCCGTCACCCGTTGGCTGCATCTCGGCGGGTCGGAGCCCACGTACAGCTGGAACGAGCTGACGTCACAGGGCCCATCCTGGGTGATCACGTGTTGAGAGGGCTGCTGTCGTGGCAGTAGTTCAGGGGAGTCCCCGTCACTGAGATACCCTGACAGGAAGACATATATGTTCTATTATAGTAGTTTTTCACTGGATTTCACTTAGAGACTCCCCACGCTTTATTGAAAATGGATGAAGATGGAATCCATGACCTTAATGAGGTTCTGGCAAGGTCAGAAATATCAGGAAGATACACAGATTTCTGTGAAATACAGTCACAGACGCTATCAGTTTACTCCTGAATCCTGCCCAGAGCCATGAAAGTTCCTGCTCTACATCTGAGCTAACCTCTTCCCCCCCCCCCGAGCGGTTTACCTCCTTTACTGGCTGAACATCCTCTTGATGACCGTCGCTGTGGTCGGGCTGGAGAGGTGGAGCTGTCCAGATGATACTTGCTGATCACGTTCTGGTTGGAGAGCGCCAATAACGATGCCGTGCTCTTACCAGCCGACTCCTCTCCGCATCCTCTGTTGTCATTTGTTTGCCGCTGGGCCCGAGAAGATGAGCGGAGGCTGAGTTTCCGGCGCAGCTCGGGAAGTTTCTTCATCTTTAGAGAGAGTTTTCTTACCGTACCAGGAGACCTCAACCTGTCAATCATACTTCCTGACACACCCCCTTTCTTTTGGGAGGCGGGACTAGAGTCTGGAGGAGAGTCTGAAGCAGGGCGAGATGAAGAACGCCAATGAAGACAAAACCTGAGCAATGTGGCGACAGCAGGTGAAACAGGAAGTCTTACCTGTATTTTCTGCTTGGATGTCATCGATATGGTGACTGACACTTGGATTGGGGAGGCTGGAGCACTGAAAGTCCTCCAGTGGACTGGCACTGCTACAACCTCCGCCCACGTCTGTTCCAGCACTAGGCTCATCTTCTTTTGCCCTCCGCTTCCATACATCCTCGTCCCGGCGTAGACCTCCTAAGTCCTCCTCCTCAGGGATCGGGTTGTACCAGATGTTGCTGCCACTGTCCTCCTGGGGGTCGCACACTTCATCTGAAGTCTTTCCTGAGGAAAGCACCCAGGCTCGGCTGCTGCGATCCAGGCTCTGCAGGTAGGCACGCTGGCCAGACAGCTTGGCACTGACGGAGGTGGAGGGAGATTCAGCGGGGTCCCCTGCTGGGTAGTAGGATTCCTGCTGCATTGCTGTGCTAACACAGGACGCACTGGTCTTATCCCAGGCCAGACTGGTGCACATCCTGTCAGCACACTGCTGCATCTGCAAACCATGACAATAACGAGTGGACACATCACTGAAGGGAGAGAAGGAATAGAATGAGGAGTCAAACCACCATCAGATCCAGGACGAGGTGTCCATCTACCAGCAGCACAATCTCTGCCCAACAACCTTGCAACTGTTATTTCTGGGAAGGGTACATATTTTTCTGTTTTCCCTGTTAAAAATCCATGCCCAACACAAATAAGTGCATTGTTTTAATACGTGGGAATGTATTAATGAAGGTACCTGAATTGAGACCCAACCACCATGGACATCGTAGCTGGAGGAATAGGAGGAGAACATAGAGAACTACCAGGAGGACAAAGACTAAGGATTACCAGGAGAAGAACAATGATTAAGGATTAGCAGTGGAAGTAGAAAGACTAAAGATTACTAGGAAGGTAAAGCCCAATTATTAGCAGGACAAGAACAAAGATGGTGGACAGAACAAAAACTGAAGCAGCAGTAAAGGTCTGAATATTAGCAAAAGAAGGGACAAAGGAGGATAGCAGTGTGAAGGCTCGGTCATATAGATAGTGTGCTATTACCTTGTCTTGCACCAGCCTGTGGCTCGAGGCCTGCCCAGATGCCTCCTGAGATATCCCTGTGGGTCTCTCCTGGTCTGAGAGTGTGATGGTGGAGCTTGGGGTCAAGAAGGTGGGTGGAGCTGCAGAGCCCTGACGCGCCCACTGCTGTTTCTTCGCCACTGTGATATGGTTTCGAGGAGGCGATGGGGGGTCGGGGTCTGTAAGTGTTGGCGACGATGGTGAGGAAGAGGACTGGAAGACATTGTCGGGCCGGACTGGAGCCTCTGTAGTAAACAAACAGCTATTATTATGGGCTGGATCAGGACGTTTGGTGCTATCAAAGTGGTGAGGTGGGTGAGTTTGATCTGCACACACTGGTCCAGATCAGATGATAGGAAGCAAAAGTTGCCCCTCCCTGAGCCTGGTTATGCCGGAGGTTTCTTCCTGTTACACGTTTTTCTTTCGCACTGTTGCTCGCCTGCTCGTGTCTCATGGTTGTGTCAGATTGTCCAGCGTTTTTGAGTTTTTGGACTTTCAAGTTTTGGTTTGTAGAAATATTTTGTTTTGATTCCTAGTTGCCTTGCTTTGCATATTATTATTGTATTTGGTCATTAATGTATCTGTGTCGTCCTCATGTAGTGAGCTCACTTCACTTTTGCTTTGAGAGTTAGTGTTCCTCGTGCTTTGATTTTAGTCTGTGATTTGGTTCAGCTGTGTCTCCATCTGCACAGCTGTCTCCTCTTGGTTACCCTCCTGTCACTGTCCTTCAACAGAACATTTGTTCCCCTTACCCCAGTCTTCTGCTAGCATTTCCTCTGTTTTTGGACTTTGTGATT